CTAGGAGAACTTCCTACAATATCTACAATGAATATGTGATTCAAAATATTAAGTAATGCTCTTTAGCTTTCCAGAGTATCTTGTGCGCGCGGGTTTAACGTCTCTCGAGGCGCGCCGTCGTAGCACATGTATAAAGTTTGTGCAAGACATCAGGCATGGGAGTGTGTTATATCCCTTGCTGTCTAGTAGGGTGGTATCATCAGATATGCCATACTCATTAAGATCAGGGAGCGCTCTTCATGTGATACCAGGTCGCACTGACCGATTTTCCAAATTTGTGTCTGCGAAATATGCAGGAAACTTGTCGAAGATTACTGATTAATTAATTATTTATATTGTAATTAGCTGGCCCCTCCGGCAATTCAGTTGTAAAACTGCAATCGGTTGAATTAAACAAGCATTATTATTATTATTATTATTAATATAAGCATTTTCAAAAATAAACTCACGCTCGTCATAACGTGGCATGAATTGTCCCGTTGTAACAGCATAACCTACAAGAAAGTTACAAAATCGTGAGAAGGCAGTGTGAAACTCAAGAGCTATATATCACATAATATCTTTGAAGGGCTGCATCGAGCTTCTCGGTCTAACACTAAACGACCAGATCGAAAAGGACTATGGATGGAAATTACAACAATATGACCATCATCAAAATAAGAAACATCAAGACAATTCTGTGGCGCATCGAATCTTATTATCCATGCGCATAACCTGAAGCCAAATTTGAGTATCCAGTCTTCATTGTTATCAAAGCTTACTAAGATTGATGCTTGTTATTTACCCGTAATCCTTTTCGGTCTAGTCGTACAGCACGATCAAAGCCGCTTAGCAAAGACATGTTTCTTACCCATGGAGTCACCAAAGTAGTCCATCTTTACATCCGATGACGAGGCAAATATTGTTTCCTCTGTATCAGGAAAATGAACCCCGACAGATCCTGCAATACGATTATATCAATGCGTCAGACCACTTACAACACACTTTGCAGTGGAATAATATTAATTAAGCTAGTTTCCACGTATAGTCCGAGTTTCATTCAGCGTTTACTCGTTTGCTCGAACGAGAATAAACAGGATGTACGCAGGCAAATTTTCACGAACATCTTATGCAAATGCCAGTTGCTGTTGAAAAATGCTTCACTGATATTAATTTACCATACTTGAGGGACACAGCAATTATTTTTTGATATTAGTTCTTCGCGCCCAGAATACGAGGAACGCGCGACATTTTTCAGGTTCTCATCATTGAATTATCGACTATTACACCAGTTGTAGATCACTTCTTTATGCATAAAATGAGAAAATCAATACTGATCACAAAGAGTACACACCTCTCCCATAGTTTTTGCCAACAGCACTCAAAGCAAGCGTCTGACCATCGTTAAAGACTGAGGCGGCAAATCCTGCTTGACAAAAGCCGTCTGACCGGTAACTGTACAGGAAATCTCTAGTATTATCTGATGGATAAAAGATAATGAATAATAAAATAAGACTGTGGACAAAGTTTAACATTGATCAGGTACATA